CACGGCCGCTGTGGGGTGGCCCTGTGCCGCCGCTGCGTCCGGTCCAGCCGGCCCTCGCGGAGCCGGAGTTGACCTCGGCGTGCGGAGCGACGGTGGGGAGTGGGCGACAGGACCGGCCTGTGGGGGCGTCTGTACCGGGTGGACCGTCCGGCCGTCGGGTCAGCCGGCTGCCTGGGAGGGCTGAGGCTGGCCGCATCTGCCCGCCCCGCTCTGGGCTGCTGCCCAGCCTGATAGGCTGCAGCTGTGGAGGCCAGAGGCCCGCCCTGGCCCGCCCTGGCCCGCCCTGGCCCGCCCTGCACCTGCGGCACCTGGGCTCACTTGCCCACCTGCACCTGCCGCGGCTGCTGTCCTCACGCCCGTTTCAGAGCACCACGGGGCAGAGGGCCCACCTGTCCGGGGTCACCCACAGGACAATCGCACCCGCTGTGACGCCGGCCGCCATCCGGGGCACATGCTCTTGAGGGGACACAGCCCCCCGCCGCGGCCCCCGACGCTATCGTCCTGCCGCAGCCCTGGCCGCAGCCTCTTCCCTCCGCCTTCCTGCTCCCCGCAGCCCCGGGCTGACCTCTCTGTCCCGCCCGCCAGGCACGATGACCTCAAGGAGATGCTGGACACCAACAAAGACTCCCTCAAGCTGGAGGCCATGAAGAGGATCGTGGCGGTGAGGGGCGGGGGCTCCCGGGGGCCGGCGTGGGCAGCGACCGGATCCCGCGGCCCCCGTGACCGCCCCTCACCGCCCCCCAGATGATCGCGCGCGGCAAGAACGCCTCGGACCTGTTCCCCGCCGTGGTGAAGAACGTGGCCTGCAAGAACATAGAGGTGGGGGCTCTCACCCCAGCCGCACTCGGGGCGCAGGCTGGGGACCCGGCTGCCCGGAAGCGCCCCTGGTCTGGGGGGGCCCGTCGCCACGCCCCTGCCCTTGAGGGGCCAGTCAGGGGGAGGGTGCCCCCGGGTGCGTCCCAGGAGGGCGCGGCTGGCCGCGGCACCGGCCGGCACCCTGAGGCGCCCGCCCCCCAGGTCAAGAAGCTCGTGTACGTGTACCTGGTGCGCTACGCCGAGGAGCAGCAGGACCTGGCCCTGCTGTCCATCTCCACCTTCCAGCGCGGCCTCAAGGTCAGCGTGCCGTCCACCTGGGTGGCCGACGCTGTCCGGGTGGGCACGGGCGGGGCTGGAGCCCCTCTACTGCCTCACGTCTGGGGCTTGGGGAGGGGCCAGCCGGGCCGGAGCGGGAGAGGCCCAGTGAGCGCCCCGCGGCACCCGACGGGAGCCCCGGGGGTGCCGCGTGGTCTGTGGGTTACTGCCCCGTCACCGGCGGTGGGGAGGACGGGGCCTTCTGGAAACCGGTGACAGACCACACAGAGGGCCAGTGCGGGACCCCCGTTTCCGAAACGTTAACCAGGACCGGGCCAGAGGTGCGGGGGTGAGAGGACGCCCCAGGGACAGAGTGGGGAGCAGGACGGGTGGAGCCACTGGGACCCACTGCTGAGGGGGTGGGGAGACGGGGTGGGGGACCTGCCGCGCCCCGGGGTCGCTCCCTGGCCAGGGATGGACTCGGCCAGCTCCAGAGGGCTGCAGTTTCACCCCTGCACCCCCGGGGGCCCCCACCTGCTCTTTTTGAAAAGCCAAAGCCTGTGTCAGGTCCGGCCCAGGCCCGGCGCCTCGGGTCTGTCCGTGCTGCTGCCTCTCCCGAGAGGTGCCCTGCGCGACATCCGCCCCTGAACAGTCGGCAGGAGAACGTTTTCGAGAAAGGGGCCGGGACTCGGGGTCCCTCGCAGGGGGAGAGCCAGGGCTGTTTGCCCGGCCGGGCCCGGGGCTCACAGGCTCGCAGGCGGGCCGGGGCCAGCTGCTGGGGGGCTGTCCTGGCGGTCAGCGGGCTGCCGGGGCCAGGGCTGCGGCTCACCCAGAAACTCCGGGGGCGCGGGGGGGAGACACGCCCTGGGGCCAGCGGCTGACTACTGTGGGAAGCCCCAGGGCTGTGGTTTAGGCCCACAGGCCGCAGAAAGCGCAGGAACACCTCAGCCCCCAGCCGGCACCCCAAGCTCCGGCGCATCACGCCCTGCGGGGGCTGTTCTCTGGTCACCGCGTAGCGGGCAGGTGTGAGCCGAAGCTCACGTCCTCGGGGTCCGTACCGGGGCCTCCTCCCAGGGGAGCGCCTGTCCCCCAGGCTCTCCCTGCCCGGCCCCGGCCCCGGGCGGGCTTAGCAGCCCGATTCAGGCAGGCCTGCGGCGGCCGGCGGACCCCGAGGCCCTCAACCCTCTTGTGCGTTTGCCAGCTGAGCCCCGTTGCGCCTCATGTTACTGGCTGGCACAGCTCCAGGTCTAGCTGATTCCAGATCTTAATTCTGGCTCCTCGGATTTTGCCTCCACGGCGACACCCGCCTTTCTGCCACGGCAAGCGGGTTCGCGGCCGCCGTTCCCCAGCGGCCCCGCCTGCTGTGAGCCCCCCGACAGCGTGTGCCACGCCCTGAGCCGCTAGACCACACAGCCCGCCGGCAGGCTGTCACTCGTGTCGGGAGCCGCGGACTGCAGCCGCGTGGAGGGAAACTAGAAGTGAGCGCGGCTCCCGCGGCTCCCAAAAGCCTGTGGCCAGGTAAGGCCTGACGGCCCGGCCGTGGCGCGGCCAGTGGCTGCCCCTCCAGAGCCGGGCGGGGTCTGGCATAGTTGTCGAGCCCGGGCATTGCCACAGAGAGTGGTTCTCTCCTTACTAAAGAGCAGACGGGTGCAGCTGCCTGGCGCCTTGAGCCTCAGATGCGGGCTCCCGCCCTGCGCCGGGCCGTCACCGCCAGTCAAAGCTGTTCGGGGTGGCTGGGCCACTGTGGTTTCCACCTGCCCGCGGCCCTCGCTGGGAAGAGAGCCTGGGTAGGCCCAGAGCGCCCCCCGCCGCCCCCCGCTGTCCACGCTCAAGGCCTGACAGTGACTGCTGTTCTCCCCGCCGCCGCTTGTAACAGGAGACGCCCCATGGCCACGGCCCCAGGGCTGCGTGCCCCGCACCTGCTTGCCCCTGAACGGCCGACAGGAGGACAGCCGCGTTGGGAGGCCGTGGGGGCGAGGGTGTGAGGTGGACCCCAGAAGGAGACCCAGCGGGCGTCACGCAGGCAGGCAGAGGCCCCGGCCTCCGCCACCAGGCGGTGTCCTGGGCCTTTCGCGCCCCCCGAGGCCGCATGGGCGCAGGAGCAGTGTGCAGGGTCAGCGGCAGCGCCAGCCGGAGGCCCCGCCGCGTAGGACCCGGCTCACGGCGGGGGCGGGGGTGGGGGCTGGGGTGGGCAGGGCCCGTGCCCCCTCCCCGTGGTCACCGGGCCTCCTGGCGCGCCTCCGCCTCAGGACCCCAACCAGCTGATCCGAGCCAGCGCCCTGCGCGTCCTCTCCAGCATCCGAGTGCCCATCATCGTGCCCATCATGATGCTGGCCATCAAGGAGGCTGCCTCGGACATGTCGCCCTACGTGCGGAAAACAGCCGCCCACGCCATCCCCAAGCTCTACAGGTGCGCCGCTGGCCGCGGGGTGCGGGCTGCCGCTGCCCCACTCTGCACAGGGCTGATACAGCTGGGGGCCTGCAGAAGGGGGGCAGTGGGGGGCGCCCACCTTTTCATGAATGGGGCCAGCGAAGAGGCGAGCGAGCGAGCGAGGCTGGGGAGCGGCACAGCCCTCTCCGTCCTCCCTCCCTCAGCCTGGACTCCGACCAGAAGGACCAGCTGATAGAGGTCATCGAGAAGCTCCTGGCAGACAAGACCACGGTGCGCCCGCCCCCGGCTGGTGGTGGAGGGGTGCCCCTCGCGCCCCTGCGGCGGCTCATCCTGTGTCCTCTCCGGCCAGCTGGTGGCGGGCAGCGTGGTGATGGCCTTCGAGGAGGTGTGTCCAGAGCGCATCGACCTGATTCACAAAAACTACCGGAAGCTCTGTAACCTGCTCATCGACGTGGAGGAGTGGGGCCAGGTGGTCATCATCAGCATGCTCACGCGCTACGCGCGCACCCAGTTCCTGAGCCCCACGCAGAACGTGAGTGGGGG